ACCACTGTCTGGGTGCGGCCCTCCAGCCAGTTGGCAACCCAATTGATTGTGTGGGTGTCGACACCACAGTCCCCCAGTTTCTTAATGAGAACAGGGTGAGAGATGGTGTCAAAGGCCTTCCAAAAGTCCAGGAAGACTATGTCCACTGCTACCCCTGCATCTAATGATTTGGTGGTCTGATCATAGAAGGCCACCAGGTTGTCATTATGTAATGAGCAAAATGATTGACAAATGATTAAGGAGTAATGCTTCTGTTTTGAGCACTTAATACTGTCCCCAGGGAGAGAGAACAAACATATAACAACTGGATTTTCAGGATTTGTACCTAATGCTGTAACTAAAGTATGAACAGATGTCACATTTGAAGCCCTAGAAGTGCTTCCAAGGAGCCCTGATAATGGGACAAGACAGTGTGGAGGCCTGATGCCTGGCTCCAACCCCTAGAGGCAGAGACTATCTTTTGGTCCCACAGGGGATGCTGGGCAGAAGCAGCCCTGCCCTCGGAGTGTCAAATGGCAGCTGGAGCTGCCCAGGTCCAAGCACAGCTTGCCCAGGGCCTGTCATGTGGTGCTGGGCAAGCAGGAGGGGCTGCTTCCACCCGGCATCCCCTGTAGTTCCTGGGAGATGCAGTCTGAGCCTGCAGGCCTTGGGCGCCACCAGCCAGCAGAGGCCAGGGCCCAAGCGCAGCTCTCCCAGTGCCTGCGGTTCCATACTGCATTTTCCAGGTGTCATGGGGAACAGTGGGTGGAAGCAGCCCAGCCTGCCTTCCTGGCATTGCTTGGTAGGTCCTAGCCAAGCTGCTTTTGGGCTCTGGTAGGGGTGATGTGTAGGGGGTACATGGAGGTGCACATACACCCCTTGTCAGGCCACGCTCCCTGTTTAGCCGGCAGGCTGGTGCGGGGGCTGGCCTGGGAGTGGGGCTACCATCAAAAGCAGGAGTTTCAGAAATGGCACAGCAGCTCTTCGGTGAGTGAGATCGGTGGGGAGGACACCATCCCCCCCACCCCTGGTGTCCTGTCTGACTCAAGAGGCACAAGACGGCCATGGGCCCTAGGGCCCTAGCCTCTGCTGGCACCATGTGGTGCCAGGTGGGTGGGCAGGGCTGCTTCCTCCCAGCATCTCCCACATCATCTGGGAGATGGAATCTAGCCCTGCAGCCTGTTAGCAGAGGCTGGGGCCAAGCATGCCTCACCCTGTGGCAATTCCTACCTGCAGGCCAGATAAAATCAGTTGTCAGGCCAGATGTGGCCTGCTTGCTGTATTTTGCCCACCCCTGCTCTACAGTGTGACAGGGGAGTGTGGAGTCCAGCATCTCAGAATTTTTTGCTCCACATCTCCTTATAGACGAAAGGGAGATGAACCCAGGGAAAACTGTAAGTGATCACTGTCCTATGAGTGTTCCTTTGCTCGCCCAGGGGCTTTTACGAAAGAAAATATTACTATGAAAATTCAAATTTGGAAACAAACTGGGGGATTGGGCAGGGAGGTGATTGCCTAAAACCCTTCTTTTTTAAATGGGCTATGTTGCCAGAGTCCTTGAATATTGTCTCTCACTGTTGTAGTAGAATATTGGTGCATCTTCATACAATAGTTTTCAATACTAGAGAAACTGACACAACTTACCTGTATAATCTGCTTTCTTTCTCTAGGCTTTAGTTTGTAGTGCATTTGTCCCTATTTATTGTGGCCTAATTCCACCATCATTTAGAGGTGTGGTAAGTCTGCATTGTTCTGTGCTAAATGCTAAAAATACGTTTGATTGTGTAAAATTTTGAAAGACTATGTATAAACTTTTTGAGAATCCAAATTTAAAATGAACAGAACTTTCATCAGAGTTCATGTAATTGGAGCTATATTTGACTTCAACTTTTGAAATTAATAAGAAACATTACATATGAAATAGGAGACAATAGCTACAGAAAATATTTCCCTTTAAATTGAGTTAGGTGACAAGCTCTGGTGGCTAACATAAAACACCATGTATGCTAGTGGTTCCCAATCTTAGACTCAAGACACCCCTCCCTAACTTTTGTGAATTGAATGGCACTTTTTGAGAAACAAAACTAATTTATTACAGTGCTTACCGCCATGCAGAGGGGCTGGCCAGTGGGTGCAGGGGAATGGCCAGGCAAGAACTGAGCCTGAGCCTGCATTAACAACTTACTTCCTCATGTCCTTATTTCCGGGCATCCTTCAGAGGATCTTGCATCACCCAAGGACACCCCAACACACTGATTGAGAATCCCTGACTTAAAGGTGGGAGGTTACAAAGGAAAATGTTTTACAGGCAACGTCTACACTGAACTACCCACTTGACTGGTGGAGGACTAGTCCTTTAGGCTCTTGCTTTGAAAAATATCTCCTGACAACAGACTAGATTTGCACATCTGTATATTTTACAGCACATATGTCTCTCTTAAATGCAGATGAACTGATAAAAGTTTAAATTGCATGTTTAAGAATACATGCATTGAAAAGACTCAATCCTGTTTCTCTGCACTTTAACTTTAGTAGAGGGAGGTTTTTAGCCGCTTTGAGCAAATCTTGAAAGTAAAGATTGCAAAGTGTTTGTCTTAAAATAGCATATTTTATTACTGTAGTCTAGAAATGTGAGACTTCCCACTGAAGTATGTTTACACTAAAGCATTGTGAGTAGCCATTATTTGGACTTTATAGGGAAATGTGCAGCTTTGTCAGGCTGTGATTTGATAGAAATTAGAGGGTGTGGGTACATTCTGGCAGAGTTGATGCCACTACTTTATTTTTGTGTGTTAAACTATAATGTTGCATTAGATTAGTTTTGTGTTCAGCTGCTTTTTTACTGGAAGATGAGGGGTTGAGAAAAGGGGAAGACACTGAAAGAAAACTCAGGCCATTCCAAGTAATGGTTCATTGCAACACTAGTAAACATATGTTTAATGGAAGATCTCTCATTTCTAAAAATGGCCTTGAAATATGTTGCCTTACAGTAGTTGTTCCTTGAAACTTTTTCCCTTTAATACTGAAGTTAAAACAGCAGAGAACATTTGTGTTTATCTTGAATGTCAGAAGCACATTCCAAAACTGTCTTATTTTTGTTTCTTAAACTCTTCTGTATCTTATCTTGAAAATATATCTGGAACAATGTATTATGAAAACAAGATGGACGAAATCCAAAATTTGGGTGAATCCAGGTTAATTTGACTAATTAGTCCTTGTGCTGGGGCACTACAGGTATTGAAAAGGGCCCAGTTTGGACTAGAAAACATGAGTGTAAGTGCTCTATTTGTATGCCCCATGTTCTAAAAGTCTGCCGCTTTTCACCTTCCCTGCCCAGTAAACTGAACTAGTTCTAAAGTAGTACTAGATTTCTTGTTTGCAGAGAAACAATCGAGAAAAGTTAGAGTAAATGACTCGGAATGAAAACTCTTGAGGGGTTGGCTTCAAATGTTCTCATTCTCTTTCTGTATATAGACTGAGATTAGTTTGTCTCTCTTTTGCCATGATGGAAGGGACTAGCCAGCTCACTTAGGAAGTTGGATGTTATAAAAAGCCCCAATCCTGCAAATGCACACGTACCTTTGTGTTTGCAAGATTGGGCCCTGAGGCTTTAAATCAGGCTGATTATATGGCTCATTTAGCATAAAACCTGACATTCTTCTCTGCTTGGAACTTCATACATGTGCTTTCTTGTGGGAATGTGCCTAAAAGAGATTGGGTGGGGGATGTTTTCTATGTATTGACGATCTGGGTAATAACTTATCGGCAAAATTAAATGCTGTATAAATTCCAGAATGATTCTAAAATTTTGTGCATTGTACAGGCATACCTCGGAGATATTGTGGGTTCGGTTCCAGACCACCACAATAAAGCGAATATCGCAATAAAGCGAGTCACACGAATTTTTTGGTTTCCCAGTGCATATAAAAGTTATGTTTACACTATACTGTAGTCTATTAAGTGTGCAATAGCATTATGTCTAAAAAAACAATGTACATACCTTAATTAAAAAATACTTTATTGCTAAAAAATGCTAACCATCATCTGAGCCTTCAGCGAGTCGTAATCTTTTTGCTGGTGGAGGGTCTTGCCTCGATGTTGATGGCTGCTGACTGATCAGGGTGGTGGTTGCTGAAGGTTGGGGTGGCTGTGGCAATTTCTTAAAATAAGACAACAATGAAGGTTGCCACAAACCTTCAATTTGTAAAAAACGCAATATCTGCGAAGCGCAATAAAGCGAAGCGCAATAAAACGAGGTATGCCTGTACTCTGTGAGTGGTTATTTGTATTGCCATTCATTATGAATATTTGGTTCTTAGTAGAAATAATTAGATTTTGGCAGATCTTAAATATGAACACCATGGGCCTCATATTGTCTCAGAATTTTGCAGCATCATATACACCTGAAAGGCCAAACGAATACATAGAATTTATTTTTAAAATGGTTAAGATAAAATGTTAGTATTTGTAATTAATGTATTCAGTAATTTGAAATAACACAATGATGTAATATTTTAAAAAATGTAAATGTGAATGTAGGTATTTACAGTAGTGTTTGCTCGAACGTATTTCCCATTAGTAATTTATTCTAAGTGTATTGTGAATCTCCTTTTTCCACCTTAAATGTGTGCAACCTGGCTAAAAAAAATAATTTCACATCAATTAATGTTACGTAGCTCTTTATGTAGAGGGCAGTCATCCTTTGATCACTCTCCAGCACAGATATGGGAGGTGGAGAATGAAAAGGCACTACCTTAAACATAAGTCAAGTCATCCTTGGCGCACATATCTAAGCTTGGCTGAATATAGTGGATACTGGTTACCACAGAACTGGTGGGGATATTTCTCCTCAAGTGAAACTGCCAGCAATGACTAAAGAATTTGGGAAGGACAAAAGAAAAGAGATGAGACTTTAATAATGAAAAGTCTACTAACTTTTGGCAGAATGACAGTGTGGAACTCCAAAAATTGGTGGTTGGGTTTACTGTGGATACAAGTGGAATCTGAAACTACTTAAATGCATTATGAAATTGGCTAGATCTCAGGTGTCTGATAAGCCTTTTCAAACTTCCAAGAGCAGCATTAAGGTTCACTTGTAAATGTTTGAGAGTTTTTATAATTAATATCCTGAAACAGACTTGCAGAAGAAACTAATGCCTTTTCCCTAGTTACAAAGACCAGGGAATTCAATTTAATCTTCCAGTATGTATCATTTTTCTTCTATAGTTGGTTTTCATTTTGTGTTTCCTTTTGGGTATGAGAGCCCCAGTAAGTAGTTTTTTAAGAATATTGTTTCCTCTTCAGCACAGGGGAAACAAGGGAGAGAGAATATCGTTAATAGTATCACACTTGGTCACAAAATTTTACATCAAAATATTTGTTTTTGAGATGCTTTAAAAATGCAAATTCGGAAGTGTCGTTCTTGAGTGCATGTGCAGACAGAAACTATTTTTATGTTCTGTGGTGATGTCTTGGATGGTTCTTAATAAGACAAGTCTTTTTTATAAATTGTCTGATGTTCATCTCTCTCTCTCTTCAGCGATATGTGGATGGAGGAATCAGTGATAACCTACCTCACCATGCATCTAAGAATACCATCACAGTCTCTCCTTTCTCTGGGGAGTGTGATATCTGCCCAAAGAGTAACTCTGCAAATTTTCATGAAGTGAATCTTACTAACACCAGCATTCAGTTCAGCTTAGGGAACCTATATCGTTTAACACAAGCGCTTTTTCCACCAGAACCCAAGGTAATATGTTGCCCTTGTGCATGGTTCTTAATGTAATGTTTTCTACGTAAATGTTAATCCTTGGAGAAACAGTTGGGGTGGCTTGGTTCTTAGCCTAACGTCTAGCCAAATAAACTTTTTTTCCTGATGGTATCTGGTGGTGGTTTCGTCTTTCTTCATCTGGACAAATAGTTTTTTATTTTAGTCTTGAAGTACAAGACTAAAATAAAATGTGTATTGTTCTGTTTTTGTGTTCTTATGATAATACGTTTAGCACTTCGAATTGTTTTGTGCAGTCAGCACTAAAAACTGTATTCAGAATGTGTGTGTTTATAGCTACTTTATGTCCCATCATTCTCCAGCACAAATTTTGGAGGTGGGGAATGAAAAGGCACTCCCTTAAACATCAATCAAATCATCCTTGGCACACCTATCTAAGATTGGCTGAATATAGTGGATATTGGTTACGACAACTGGTGGGGATATTCCTCCTCAAGTGAAACTGCCAGCAGTGCCTAAAGAATTTAGGAGGGACAAAAGAAAAGAGATGAGACTTTAATAATGAAATATATACTAACTTTGGCTGCTTCAGAGGGTTTTTTTTTCTTTTTTGGTTTGTTGCAAACAATTTTGATGAGTGTTTTTACACTTTAGTCTTCAACTTGTCATCCTGTATAGATTTAAAAAATTCTATTTCTTTTTTTTTTGTTTGTCCAGGACTTTGAAAATGTACAATATTGGGTGACTTGGTGGTGTACCTGGTAACTCCAGTTGTCTTGTGGGAGACCTAAGTTTGGGATTAATATTGAATTGGCCTCCCTAGAAAAATTAAGCAGCACCAAACATATAATTTTGGGAAGTGGCAAGGAAGAGTGGGTCAGAATGCACTCAGCTAAACCTTCTGCTTCAGTGTTGGTCACTGATCCGTTTATCTGTGCTTGTTTAAAAAGCCAGTTAGGGAAACAAATTCTTACAAGCTTACTGTTTGATCTTTGGTTTAGTTAGAAGAGCATTACCCTAAGATAAGAGATGGCTCAGGAATAACTTGATGCACATCATTTGTTTGAAAGATCTTATTTAAGTATATCATCACATTAAGACTGAGTTCATCACTTCAGAACTTTTACTCTTGGTAATGGCATTTTCTCTCTTAGAATTAGTGTAAGTGAATAAAGTGGTCATTCTTTCTGTAAACTTAGTTTTCAGTTAGAATCTTCCTCCTTGTGGGTTGCTGACACACTGTCCCATATGTTTTCAGGTTTTAGGAGAGCTCTGTGAACAAGGATATTCAGATGCTCTTCGATTCTTGAAAGAAAATGGTATGTCGATATTTATTGTGACCTTAACTTGAAAAAGGGGGTAAGAATAAGCAAGGATCTTTTGAGTCAAAGCAGATGAAATCTTGAAAGTCTGTAAGATTAGTTCTACATTTCAGTAGCTAGAAAACAGTACTTTAGTAACAACTTACTGTATTTGCTTGAAGACGAGATCCAACCCCCCCATCAGGATGGGGGAAAACAGGTCCTCGTCTTACATTTGCATACAAGGAAACCTCATTAAATACATTTGTCTATCATTAAACTGCTGCCAAAAGCGGTGTGTGCTCAGTAATGGAAACCAACTATGAAGTTGATTAAACGCAGTCAACACTGAGCACGACTATAAAAACACGTGGTCCATATTGAGCAAATATGCTGATGGGAATTGTTGTTGTTACTTATTTATTTATTTTTTTACCTTTAAAAAAAAATCCAGAGAACTGGCACTGAGGCCTGGAGGTACTGCAATACGAGGCTGGCACTAGAAAGGTCAGAGAATTTGGGAGGGACAAGAAAAAAGATGAGGCTTTAATAATGAAATGTCTACTAATTGGGTGCTTCAGCCCTGTCACTCTCCCCTTAGTGCCAGAGATGCTTGATCTTAGTTGGAAGGCCAAGATGCTGATGGGAACCTCCCACTTTTTGCAAATATATAACTACCTCTAACAACTTGTCAAGTGACTATTGTGGTTCACTTGGCAGATCAAAATGTATTTTGACAGTTTAACTGTTGTAATCCGGTTGCACAGTTCGCACCATGCATCTGTCACCATTCCAGTGCTATCACTCATTGTTCTTTCAGAGGGCTTGCCTCTGAAAACGCCTGTGCCAGTTTCTTCCCCACCATTTGAAGTCTGCCATTTCTTTCCCATCTTCCTCTTCTGTCTTTCTGTAGTACCAGTACATTTTACTCAGCCCCATCTCAATGCAGTCCTCGACTGTGGGGTTCAAGTATCTGTTTTATGAGCAGGTTCCTGGCTTTCCACAGGGCATACCAGAAGCATATGGGAACTTCCCACAAGGATAGGTTACTACAGTCCGTCTGGATAAAATATGGAAGTGCCCATTGTACAGTCCCCCAGCTTCTCTCAGTTCCTCTTCACTCTCTCAGCTGAACAGCATATTTTTTTTTCCCCATTTCCAATCATTTTTATTTCTTCACCAGCCTTAAATGGCTGGCAAACATCACCAAATGTGTCCCAGAACAGTTCGCTCATAATCCCTCTGTCAGTCCCTCTCTCAGCCTGGTGCATACAATTAGTGTAGCCCACCCTCTGTGAAGCGAAGCTGGACAAGATTGCCCTGTGCGTCATCTGTATATACATTTTTGGAGGATCCCAGGACTTGTGACAAGAACACCTGGTTGCTGTCATGAGTTGGGGGCTAATTAGCACATGGCTCCTTTGTGGTGTGTATCTGGAGTACACACACATTCTGAACAGTGCTGAGCTGTGGGGTCACCATGGTTTGAAATGCTGCTGACTGCTGAGGCCCAGTCCAATGAACTGTATGGTAAATCATGAGCCCTTTGGCTTTGGGGACACCGTGACTTGCAGATCAAGTGTAGTCCCTGTTTTTATGAGTCTTTTGGCTTTAGATTACCATGCAAAAGGCCTACTATAGTCATCCAGAAAATGTTTTGGTCAGAAAATCAACTTCCATGCTTAATACACATACCCCAATTTCAGGGGGGAAAGTGCATGTTATATGTGTGAAAAAATGTTACATAGTAGTCCTGAATGAATTAACTACTTCCACGCTTTCCATGTCCCTTCCCTCTTTTCCACAGGTCTTGGGAGTTATGGAGGATTAAAAAAAAAACAGTATATGATAGGGTACACTAGGGAGATCATTGAGTTATTGGGAGGCAGTAACAACAAAGGGATTGGCCTTCATAGCTTTCAGGGGAATTTGAAGATGTATCTGAAGGTTGTAGAGTAGAGTTTGTGGTACTCCTCAAGGTATAAGAAAATGGGTTCACTATAATATTCTTAAATTCATTTGTTAAAGACTTAAATCTTGCAGTCTGCAGTATGAACAGTGTCACCTGGGAAAGGTTTTGTAACTGAATAGCCCAGAATGATGCCAAGTACAGTAAAATCTGATGATTTCCATGTCATGTAGAGACTATAAAGAATGGCATTCTATTATGAAGAAAACAATTACAAAAGTTCAGTGTGTAAATATTACCCACTCTATCTTACTATATGAAGCTTGTGTGATTTTTATAGATGAATGCTTAATGCATGATTTAGTCTTCAAAAATTCAAAGTGCTCACCCTGTGAACATTATTACACTGGAATGAAATGATTAGACAAAACTTTTGCTTTGTATTCTTATATGCCCTCTTTCCAAACATAGAAGATACCATACTTATCCAAATCTAAGACTACTTTGAATTTAAGGTGCCCCTCCCCCCAATGACATTTTAGATATAGAAAATTTATAACTTTTTACAATAATTTTTCCATTTGGAGAATCAAATTATTGGAGAATCGTCTTAAATTCATTCCCCACACTGCTGCAGCAGGACAAGCAGTTGTAGGGGGAGCAGGTGATAGGGAAGTCAAGTGGCCTGACCTCTGCCCCTCAACTATGCCTGTACCCTCTGGGGCCTGCTTCCTCCTCCCCTCCCCCACTGCTGCCTCTGCCTCTGCCCCTCACTTACCCCTCCCTCCCACTGCTGGCCCCCGCTCCTCACCACTGCTTACCTTCTGGTCCTGGCTTCAGCTGCACAGAGCATGTGGTTGCTCCAGCCCTGGCCTGGTCATGTAGCAGTGGGAGCTACAGCAGTTGCTTGCCCTCCACTGCCTTGTCCTTGAGTCTAAGATGTTAAATGGTCGGGGGGGAACCTTGTCTAGGATTGGAATAAATCTGGTAATTCTGTAGTATGATACAAATAATCCTTTGTCTTGTTGAACCAAGAAAAGTTGAGGATTATCCAGTGCTTTAGGGATCAGCTAGCTTGGCAAATACAATAGGCTGTGCAGATTTAAACTAAAGGGTTAGCTTAATTAGTTAAGCCAGTTATTTATCGGAAACTTCCTGATCTTGGCCTCCCAGGGATTTTGTGGTTCCCTTTTCCCTAGGACAAACAGATATTCATTTGGACATGTTCGCTTTCTTGTTACCTACTGTCCGCCTTCAGGCACTTCTGGTACCATTTGGCTTGCACTTGATCAGAACAGGGATAAATAATCATATTATTAACTGGCATGACTATTCTTTGCTGGTATGTCATTGACGCACCTATTGGGGGTTAATATACTGCGACCACTGGGCTTCCGCTAGCCGCTTTGTGGTGGCTCGGGTCTTCCTGCCGGATGTTCTGCCTCTTCCGGGCCTTTTGTTATCGTCAAGGTAGCTCTACCTTCCTACATCACTGACCCTGCTCTCGTCTGCCATGTCTTGGTGTTCCTCAATGGGTGTGGTCGGTTTGGCGGGTCCCTCGGTGCCCAGGTCCGACCCGGCGGTTGCTCACGGGGCTCCACCACCCCTACACCCTGGCCTCATGCCACCTATGGTGGGCCGCCTCGGTGAGATCTTGTGGTCTTATTTGCAGGTCTTGCCCACCTTCCTGCGAGCTAACACCTCGTGAGGGAGGTCGCGCACACTCCGGCCGAGCCTCACTCCTTGCCCCCATCCCACGAGGAACTACCTCACAAGAACTCCTCTCTAGCTTCCCTATGCCGCATGCCCTGGGGCCCTTACCGAACTCAAACTCCCCAACTGGGGGTAATTCACCTGCCGCCACACCACAAATGAAAATGCCATGCTCCTCCACCAACCCAGCGTCGCTTCCACTTCTCTTAGCCCCTTAATGTAGCAAGAGGCTTCTCCCCACTATCCGTCGCCCCTGAGTTCACGCCCATCCACGCTTGCCCTCCTGGGCCTTGGCCGCAACCCCACCCCAATTACGACCCCTGTGTGGATCATCCCGAGCTCTTGCCTCCCGGTGTGGCGTCCTCCACACCCCCCATCCTGACACTCCAGTTGAGTCTCGCTGTGCTCCCGCAGGTGCCTCTGGTCTTCCTCCTTCAGGCCAGCACTCAGTCCACCGGTGAACGGTGAGGGACGTCAATGGGGAGCTCCTATCCCCAATGAACCTTGCCCCCGGCTCACCAGCCTCCTCAGGATTCGTCTTCGGGGCTTGCTCCTCCTCCTCCGTCTGCTGCAGCTCCGTCTCAAGGCCATCCGCCCCCTCCGCAGCGGCCGCTGCCATTTTTATCTTCGCTGGCTGGCGTCTGACGCTGACGTCACTGGCCAGCCACAGCTGTACATAGAGGCGGCTCGTGGGTCGCGCGGGTTTCTCTCGCTGTTCTCTGTAAGCTTCGTCCTGGACTGTGGATAAGTATCCTACGTTACCCTGCTTCCCGGGACATATACTTTCTGCATTAGTACAGCTGGATCTCCCATTATAGCCTTGCAGAATTAAGCCTGAAACAAGATTTGTAGTATGGGTGCAGGCACTGTTTCAGCTTGAACCAATGCAGTTCTATAGCATAGACATAGTCCAGTACACTCATGCATACTTGTAACTTGATTATATGTAGGAGTTCAGTTTCCTTGAATTGTTTTTAGTTCACTGTTTCTGAAAGGCTTTAAATTGCTCTGCTTCCCATTGCTCTTTCAGTGGTCCAGTTATTTTATTACACATCTTCCCATAAAAAGAAAAACAAGACTGACTTCAAGAATCAGCACCCCAATCCCAAATCCCAGTTTATTAAAACATGAGACTTCCTTTAATTTATTTTATTTTTTAAATTGTTTTTTATTTTTATTTCATCCTTCAGGTGGCTGGCTGACTTCATTTTACCACCCTCCCCTCACCCCCATTTCCTTTCTACCTCCTAGCTTCATGTTCCTGTTCTGTGCCCCCCGTCCAACCCATTTCTTATGCACCCTCATCTAAAGCAGGGATAGAAGCCTGTCCTGGCTCACCAGCCCTGTAGTGGCAACTCACAACTACAGCTCCTAGTCAGGCCTCTGCTTGCCAGCCCTCTAGTGGCAAGCCACAGCTGTGCAGCTAAGGGACAATCAGAAAATGTTTTTACTTAGCCTTAAGGTACGACTGCTCCAAATTTGAGCTAGCACTAGTAGTGATCAACATTTGAGCAGCTCAAAGTACAGCATGTAACAAGTCCCTTATGGTAACTCATCAGTTTTGTAAGATAAAGTTGGGCTGGCAAAATACTTGGATACCTCTTAGAAAAACTTTCTTCCAATTGTTTGTGTGCCACTCGATGCTTTGAGTCAGCATGCCAAAACAAAATTGAGTTGCTTTAGCTGTTTTCTTTTGGATGACATGTTAAATTTAAATCTTGTCCCCTTACTAGTGACTGCTTCACGTGATAGTTACTCTTTAAGCTCAAGTTGTATAGGTATATTTTGGAGACCTAAAGCTCCAGAAATCAAACCACTTAAGTACACAGGAACTCTCAGCCCCACCATTTGCTTGGTAATATAACTATGCTCACTTTACCTTGGCCAGAAACAATGAAGGGGAAGCAACTGTCCAAGTGTTGCTGGTAGAACCCTTGCAAATGAAGGGAACTGCATCCATAAAAACATTAAAACAGTCTTTTAAAAAGTATAATATAGCTGTGCAATACCCCTTGCCAGGTTACAGCTTTTTAGGAGCAAATCCTTGTTTATTGTCTATCTATAGTTTTTGTTTCTTTATGAAGTGTGAATAACATTTTCGTTGCTTGTGGACCAATTATTAAAGAACTTGGAGTTCTGTTATGAAAATTGTCAGAAATCTAAAGTCTTGGGTTTTTTCCCCCCCCACCCCTCAGGTATTCTAAATGAATCAATTTATGTTGACTTGCCATTAGCAAAGAGAAACCCTCAGGATCTTATAAAGTACCCTAAATTCACAAAGAAGAAAAATATGCCAGGGAATAATACTGAAGAGAAGATGGCAAACACGGAAAAATTTAATGACCAGCTGAAGCAAAACATGTGGCCACTGGATGAAAGAATAGTTGAGACCCTACCTCCTAAACTTCGCAAAGGTATAGTCTCAAGCATATCTGCTGTTAATCGAATATACCAGTTGTGTTTTATAAATGACTTCAGGTATATTTCACCTATCAGTAAGTTCTGGTAAGAGAAAATATTAAATTTTCATGTCACACAAATATTTTAATATAAAATCTACAGTATATTTTTCAGTTGAAATAACCCATAGAAGCATTTTAAATTAAATTAGAAGGCACACTTATTGCTGCAGAAATTGGCCTTCCCAAGTACCCCCAGTTGACAACCCCTATCCTATGGATTAAATCTTTAATCATAAATATGGTGAATTATATTTACTAACAAAACCTCGGCGAATACGAGTTTGGTTGAATCATCAGAACAAATCTTTTTGTTCAGTAATTAAAACACTGTTGTAAAAGAAAACACGTTTCCAGGTTTATAGAGAAGGTTTTAGGGAAGCTTCTTTCTAAATTTACCTTCTTTTAGCTAGGTGCTCATAGATCACAAATGGTATTTCAAAGGCATAAGATGTACTAAAATACAGGCAAACAGAAGTGCACCTTAAACTAAGTGCTTGTATAAGGTGGGCCTGTACTTTGACTTAATAGAATAGTGCAGAGGCAGAAAAGGATCTTGGAGTCATTATTGATTTCAAAATGAACATGGGCCGACAGTGTCGGAACGCGGTCAGGAAGGCCAACCGTACCGTGTCATGCATCCACAGATGCCTCTCAGGCAGGTCCAAGGAGATGATCCTCCCCCTCTATGCGACACTGGTCAGGCTGCAGTTGGAGTACTGCGTCCAATTCTGGGCGCCGCACTTCAAGAGGGATGTGGACAACATGGAGAGGGTCCAGAGGAGGGCCACCTGCATGATCAGGGGGCAGCTGGGCAGGCCCTACGAGGACAGGCTAAGGGACCTGAACCTGTTCAGCCTCCACAAGAGAAGGCTGAGGGGGGATCTAGTGGCCTGTTACAAACTAGTCAGAGGGGACCAGTAGGCATTGGGGGAATCCCTGTTCCCCTGAGCACTACCAGGAGTGACAAGAAATAAAGGTCACAAGCTAGCAGAGGGTAGATTCAGACTACACATCAGGAGGTGCTACTTCGCTGTCAGGGTGGCTAGGATCCAGAACTAACTTCCAAGAGAAGTGGTGCTGGCTCCTACCCTGGGGGTCTTTAAGAGGAGGCTGGATGAACACCTTGCCGCGGTCGTTTGATCCCAGCACTCTTTCCTGCCATGGCAGGGGGTTGGATTTGATGAACTGCTCAGGTCCCTTCTGATCCTACCAACTATGAAACAAGTTACGTGAAGAAGCATGGGAATTGTGAAAGGCAATACAGCTGGATTTTTTTAGAAACCTGGGTTTTATTCCCAGCTCTGCTGTGGACTTCAGGTCACCTGCCCAAGGTCACGTAACCTCTCAGAGAAGACAAAGAACTTAACTTTGTTTTGTAGGATGATGGGGAATAAGATGTTGGTGGTCACCCACCTCTATGAAGTATTTTGTTATGTACAACATGAAAATCGTTGGGGAAGGCTATAGTGTACAACACACACTACCCTCTCACCCTTTTCTTTATAATGCGGTAGTGCAGTATTTCTTTATAATGTGGAAAACTGCTAGCTATACTTGACTATGGAAGGGGTTTATTCTGCTACTATTGTTTTGTGACTTAATATTGCTAGTCAATTCTGTTTCTGTTTTTGGCACTGTAACAGAAGCTAAGAAGACTGTGTATCCTTAATGCCTTATTATGTCAAAGTTTTGTAACAGGCATCTGTGTGTCCTCTAGCAAAGGCTCTGTTGTTTCTCCTCTAGCAGTTTGATATTCAATGACTCTTCCTTCATTGTCATACTCTACAGGTGCATCTACATGTGCACTTAATGCAAAACAATAAACTTTGTCAGAGTTTGTTGCTTCCAGGTGCCACATTTACATGTGTACCTGGGACCACAGCATGTTGAGCCAGATTGGAGCAGCCCTGGCTAGCAGAGGCCCCAAGGGGATCAGCCTGTTAGCCCATGGCTGTTCCAGCCTCGCTCAGTGTGCTGCAGAGTTACTGGCTTGGGCATGAGGGTGCTTCAGTGTAGGGCTAGCCAGCAGGCAGCCCCTGTACTGAAGCACCCCTCATGCCTCAGCCAGCTCTGTCAGCATCTAAGTTATTTATAGCAGCGGCACTAAATAATGCTGCTGCAGGATAGTACTTGTATTTACAAGTACTAACCTACAGTGGTGTTTATTAGTTTACTCTGACCTAATAGGGTTGCACGTGTAGAAGCAGAGACTTTATTGTGGAGCTAATCAGGTAGCTCTGCAGTACCTCTTAAGCCTGGATAAAATAATGGTATCAAGGAAAATCTCAAGAACGCTTAAAATCTTACTTTATACTACAGTTGTTCAAAGAAACACACACCCAGCATGTCACTTCAAACTAGTGAAACATTATTTTTGGTGAAACTGTCCTTTTATTTGGAGATTAATTCTGGACGCTGACAAAGGCAAATGGGAACAGGCTGCAAGTGTTTGAAAATAAAGTGCTAACTAAAATATTTGGTGCAGTACAAGAAAACAGAGTATGGAGAAAAACCTAATCAAGAGCTTTACAAAAGACTGGATGTCTTGAGCAAGATAAGAGTGCAGAGAATAAAATGGGCAGGGCATAGTATGATAGGTGACGAGAGAAGGCATGTGAGGAGATTTTGGGAGCTGAGGTGGGGGGGTATTAGACCTCAGATACACCAAAGCAACAATGGGAAGATAACATAAAAAGTGATCTGGAAGGGATAGGGAAAGATGCAACATGGTGGAAGCAGTTTGCATAACATAAAAAGAGGTGGAAGGCTTTAGTTAAGGTGGCTACAGGCCCTTGAAGCCTGTGGAACTAGACAGATAGAGAGAAGAAACTAAGGATGTTATCAACCTGAGGTGACTTGGGATTTTTTTTCAGTTTAATCTGCAAATAAACATAAGACTGTTTACAAAGTACATTTATTTTTCAGCATTACAGGAAGCTTGTAAAGAGAAGTGTGGGTTCTATGCTCAGCTTTCTAAACTCTTACCAGTGCGAGTGATGTCTTACCTGATGCTGCCGTATACATTGCCAGTGGAGTCTGCCTATTCTGTTGCCCTGAGGTAAGGCCCTGTTTTGGACCTCTGTAGAAGCCTTACTTTGGAGTAATTAAGTATTTTCTTTATTCTTTTTGATGAGTTCTTTTTGAGGTGATGTGCTTGTTGGGTGTGTGCTTAGTTTAAATTATTTTAAGATTACTAGACCTTGGGACCAAGGGTATCACTAGCACAGTGAGTCTCAACCACATTAGACTCAAGGCACCCATCATTAGACTTGAGGCATGCCTCAGAACATGCCAGCTCTTAGTTTTCACTAATTTTTTGCTCTGTTATTTTCCATAGGCAGTCTTTTGTTGTAAATAACTCAGACTACAACAGGACACAATTATTTTGACACTATGGATTCCTTTTTGAAATCTTTGGGTTTATTTTGTGAGTCATGTACACAGCTAACAGTGCATTGCAAGGTAATGTGCGGCACCCCTAAAAAGAAAATCATGACATTAGCACATATTCAAATGATGTAGGTTCCCAGCTAAAATGTTGCTTCATGTTGCAAACACCCTTCTAAAAAAACTCTTAGCTGATCCACCCTTTTTTAAAAGCTTCCAGATTGAAAGCTGGATTGATTAGGAGAATTTTTTCCAGAATTCCATTCAGTTTACTTACATTGATGTGACATTTGGTTTCTAATAAACAACATCATAAAAAGATTGATATCTGTAATTATTTGCATCTTTTTTCCAGTGTTTATTTGTGGATAGTCAGTTCCTCTCTAAAACAATATACCAAAAATAGTAGTAGACATTTTGATGGTGGTAATCTTGTCTGTTATAAGTAACCATAACTTCTTGAGGCAAGTTATCACAACACTTCAAAGACAATCCTTTTAGCATGCTATCCATAAACAGTCTCATGTATGTAGCTTCATTCTCAGGTAATGTTTCACCAGTTGGCAGGTATCATGTCTTTTTTTTCAGGTGATTACAATATAAAGAATGTTAACTTTGTAGTGACATCACACCAGATTCTGCATCAGTTTACTTACCTTCAATCTGCCTTTTTGCTTTGCTTCTGGGGAGAATAAAGGGTGCAATTCTATCCTTGAGAATCAAAACTGGTTCTATAACTTACAGCATTAGACAAAGAAATGGTGGTTTTCTGCACCAACTTGAAGTACGTCCCACTTCATGAACAGCTAAATGTAGTCATAATAATGCTGTACGGCAAAATGTCGGAAGGAAAAATATCACCGCTAACATAACTTTCTTTCACAAACAAAGAAAGGAATTATTTGTAGTTTGTATTCTAGAACTCTCAACAGAAAACCAGTTCCATTCTTATGTTAAATCTTTTATTTTTCCTGATTGCAGAGTAGTAGACTGGTTTCCTGATATTCCTGATGATGTTCGATGGATGCAGGGACAGGTATATCGGATTGTTGGTACAGTTTGTTCTCAAGCAAGAAATAAGCTGCTCCGCGCATGCAGGTAAATTTTTTTACAAACAGATGCATCTTTTCTACGTCTGTTTCTACTATTATCAGTCAAAACCTAATCCATTTTTTCAAAAAGATGTGCAGGTATCTTGAGGATGAGTTCTAGTAGTGAAAATAAGTATCAAGCCTTTCATCTGCCTCTCTGTTTATATACTGGTTAAAAGGTAGTTGTCCTACTCCTAATCATACCTGATACAGTAAAAGCTCTGTTATCTGGCATCCCCCAGGAATGGGGGATGCTGGATAACAAAATATGTTGGTTAATCGAACAGCCTGAACAGGCGTCCTTGCCTGTTTGGGCTGCCACTTCTTCCGCTGCGTTGGGGGGTTGCCGCCCTTCCTGCAGGATCACCGGCCCTACACAGCATGTTATGCCCCTGGGCCGTGGGGGCTTGGAAGCACTGGCTGCTTTGCCCCGGGCCATGGGGGCTCAGAGAAACCCGAAGTGTCACTGTGGGCACTTCTGGTTTCACTTTACTTTACAAGCTGGCATGCTGGTTAACAGAGCATGCCGGCTTGTAAGGTGCCGGTTAGTGAAGTTTTTCTTGTAGTAAGCACAATTTTTTAAGTAAGGTTTCTTTTGTAAAGTGGTTCATGCTGTGTTTTCAAGACTGATAGTAACTCAAGACAGTTGCAGCTGAAACATTCAGTGCGCCTTTCTCCCATCTTTTTATCCCCAGTCTTTGCTCTGTTTCTGAATATGGAATCCTTTAGAAGACATTCATTCAATTTTTTTCTTGTACTCTGCAGGGAGTATTTTGAACTCTTTTTCATATTGTCTTTAGTAGGGTAGACTTTGTCTGGTTGGCTCTCCTATCCCTTCCTAACACTGTTAGAGTGGAACTCTAATTCCAAAAGCATGCTACCTTACTTAGGCACAGGGATGGAGAGCTACACGAAGAGCTGTTCTCAATCCTTTTCCCAGAAGAACTAGAATCTACCTAGAAATTAACAACTGAAGTAGTAAAATGCATTCTAATGTTTGGTATCCAGGTTGTAGCTGTATTGGTCTAGAGGCAAAAGAAATCAGAACTTGTGGTAGAGGTGATATCTTTTATTAGACCATCTAGGTTTTTGCAAAAAATACATATTTAATTGCAAGCTTTTGGGCACAAGCACCCTTCCTCAGGCATAGGAGAAAACATTGGAAAAGTTCTCCCAGGTAGAAATGACGGTTCATATTTCATAGCGGAGTTAAAGGTGTGGTAAAATTTCCTGTTTGGCACAGTTCATTTTATGCATGTTAGGCTCAGAGAAAAGTTGAAATAGTCTATTTACCTTGAAGTTGTTTGGTGACAAGCAGGATGTAGTCATATTTCCTTCTGGTTATGATGTTTCATATTTCACAGAAGAGAAAAAAAGGGATGGAATCCTCTTCTGGGCAGGAATTGCTTATGTAGTGTGGCTGAGCTTTGTGATGATGCCAGTTACCTCAAACAAAAGCAGGAGCAGGGTCTCAGGTTTCAGATGGTAAATCTTGCTTCCTCCTTGTAAATTTTATGAAGATTTCATGTAAAAAATCAGCTGAAATTTGATATCTTCCATATGTCAGGTTTTACCACCTGAGAAGCCTGCTCCTGCCTTTGTTTGAGGTAATTTGCATCATCACAGAGCTCAGAGATACCTCACCACATAAGAAATTCCTGCCCAGAAGAGCATGCCATCTTTTTACTCTTCTATGAAATATGAAACATCATAACCAGAAGGAAATATGACTCTATATCCTGCTTACCACCAAACAACTTTGAGGTGAATAAACTATTCCAACTTTTTTTTGAGCCTAACCTGCATAAAATGAACTGTGCCAAACAGGAGATTTTACCACACCTTTAACTCTCCTATGAAATGTGAACTTTCATTTCTACTTGGGTGAACTTTTTACAATCTTTTCTCCTATGCCTGAGGAAGGGTACTTGTGCCCAAAATGTTAAATCTAAATCTGTATGGCACCACTGATACTTTAACTGAAGTAGAAACCTCATTGAAAAATTGCTAACTTTTTTTTTTTCTTCACAGTAAAGAGAGCTTTGGTTCACTAAGAAAATGTCACACTGTCCCACCTACTGTAGAGTTGCATTCCACTTGCTGCTATCTTAAAATCCCACACTCTTCTGCAGACCTAGAGAGTTGGCTTTGGGATTTTCCCTCTTGCACAGACTTAACTGGGAAGCAAGTTTCTGCAAGCAAAGAGAAGCTTTCAGAGTCAGATTCCCATCTTAATTGTGTCACAAATTCTGAAGAATCTGGAATGGAAATGGACTTTGACTCTTCCTCGGAAAACAGTTTCCAGACGGCTTCAGAAGACTAATTTTGAAGGAAAAAAATTGAATGTTCTGGATTCTCTGTCAGAGAAACTTGAAACCTGAGGAATTAATTTTCCTCACCTCCTGCCAACAAATATAGAAAGATTTTATTTTGTTTACATCAGGATGACAGATTTGCCTTTGTGGACTATACAGTTCTAAGGATTAAAAAAAAAAAAGTTACTGTACAAAGTAACTATCCATATCCTGGTTAATGAGTTAAATCACCAGTTTAATGGACTGTGGTTAAGATGCATCTAAAAAGAGATTTAACTTCAATCTACTTGTACACACCAATTTAAAATAAAATGAATACCAATAAATGGCTTGTATGCTATAGAAACAAGCCTTTAAAGCAAACATTGCATTTAAAAACCCAGACTTTTTATAAATAGTTCTTACATTTTTAGCACTTGGGTGGAATCAAGCAGCTTGTACTTTGTAAGGGGAAAATGTATGTAGGACTTTTTTGAGGGCCTCCAATGTCTGTGCGTTTGCTTTATGTTTAAATGTATTGCTGAAATTGTGGGGAAATGTTACCAATAGGGGTGTGTGAAACAGGCTGTATTCGATTTGGATTCAGCCCAAATCGGGGACAGTGATTAGATTTGTTGATTCAGATCACTGCCCCGATTTTTGGATTTGGATGAATCTGAAGATTCGATGCTGATTCAGAGAATCAGTGATTCGGCCATAGACACAGCTTTAAATGTTTTTTTTTTTTTTTTCTACATACCTCAAGGAACCAGACACGGCTTGTGAACGCTGTGATGGTAGGGTAGATGGAGCATCCCACAGGAGTGTGGCGGGGGGGCCCCCCGTGTGCTCGGTGGTGCACCCAGAAGTGGACTGGAAGTACTGTTGGTCCACTTCTGGGTCCACTGATAAGCACGTGGGGGAGTGCCCCCCCAGCTTGGCGATCGGCCACCGAGGGACTCCAGGTGCCCCCCCCAGACCCAGGAGACACCAGTTGCTGAGCCGGGGTGTGTGTGGAGGGGCCCCCGGGTGCGCTCCCTGGCAGACCTGGAAGTAGACTGGAAGTGCTTGTCTGCTGCTGTGCACTTCCCTCCCCCCCAACATTTCTGTGAGATGCTCCGTCCGCCACACCATCTCCGCATTCATGAGCCGCCTGGTATCTTGAGGTATGTAGAAAAAACATTTAAAGCTGTGTCTATGTCCAAATTGTCGAATCTTTCTGAATCTCTCCAAATTGATTTGGAGGGTTCCAGTTTGATTCGGAGAGATTAAAGGGTCTCCTGATTCTATTCAGATTCGGAGACTTGGCCACTGAATTGGACTGAATCTCTGCCAAATTGAATTAGTGACCAAAGCTTTGGACAGCCCTAGCTGCCAGCTTGGATTACAGTACATGCTATAACATAGAATTTATACTATAATCGGGTTCTACATTATCCCTAACGATTACCTAGAGATGATTAATTGTGAAAGGTGCATCTTTTTCCTTAATTATCAAGAAGGGAAAAAGTGGATAACTGGGCAAAATTTACCCAAAATGTAACCAGGCATAACTTTATTGACTTTGATGGAGCAAGGCACATTTTGCCAGGGTTTGGTTCAGGCCCTTCATCTTTAAACAGATTATTTAAAAATGAATAATAGATGCAGAGGTTGTTTTGAAGAGTTGCACTGAGTGGTGCTAAAGAGAGCAAATCAATATCTCAGAACTTTGTGGTGTGTTAATATGCCATAAATTAGAACAGTGTTGTGTCTTTGCACTGTGATTTGTTGCTCAGTGACTCTTACTGTATCTTCTGTATAATGAAAGGGAAGCATGTTTTTTTTTTTTTCTTGTTGTGTAAGGGACCATTGGGGTGGGATAATTTCTTCAGACATGCTCTTTCTTAGGTCAGAAAGAACAAAGCAGAGCTCTAGACAAATGCATCTTGGATACTAACCAGTCTCTCTCTTTTTTTGTGCTAAAGAGCTGCATGCCTGTCTAACTGCGTTGTATTTAAAGCTATAGGGATGGTGAGCGAGTCCTCTCTACCTTGACATTCTGTACCTGTTCTCCATAAGGGTGTCAGTGTGGTTTCAAATCTTAGATAGACAGCTTATGTGCACATCTGATAAAACTGATAATAAGATAATAAAGCCATGTATTATGGCACAAATCCTTACTTTAGCAATATACTTTGGACAAGTAAAAAACCAGAAATCAGATGGATGTAACCACTTGTGACTTTTGAGAGACAAAGTTTGTTCGAGAAAGATTTAGTAGCAAAGAGGCACTGTATTAGTGTTTTGAATTTGGGGTAACTCAGCTGAACATCTGGGAGACTGTAACCTTAGAACTCTGGAAATGTTTGCTGGGAGAAAATTAATAGTGTAGGTCAAAGATTGACTGAAGATGTTTTCGAGATGGAAAAGAAGGTTCTAGAGACTGGTAAAAGTATAGGGTAAACTTTAAATGTGTGTAGGTCTTTTGAGAAGGCAAAACCTTCACTTGCCTGATTTGGATTGAATGTTAAAAGCTGTTCCCCTTCCCCCCTCCCCTGAAAATCTAAACATGTGCTATATTTTTATTCTTCAGATTAAGTTAGGATGCTTTAAAAACATTATTTAAAATGTAAAATTTATAATTTAATAGGATATTGAGGGACTTTTGTATTGTAATTACTCTTCGGTGCTATTTTACTTCAAATGGTACTTAACTTTTTTATTGGGCTCTTTACATGTATGCCTTTCGATCCTGCAGAATAAACAGGTAAAAGAAAAATCCTGAGATAACTACTAATTTTTAAATAAAAGGTACAAAATATGATTTTAAGCTGTCTTCATTTGTAAGGTACAAATTAATGTTATGGAGGGCCTGAGCTCTCGTGCGAGGAAAAATACTGCTGTGGTGTGGCTTATTGTCCTCATGAAAGGATATATTTTTAGTCCACAATTTCACACACACACACCATGCTTAATTTTTATACACCTGAGTAGTCTAATTGAATTCAGTGGGATTAATTCACATTCACAAGTGTGTGCAGGAATATTGTCTGAATTTCCTATAAATCACTTTCTACCACAAGTATTTGCCTCATTCTATGAACTTCCTTTTCATAATCATAATGGAGGCTTCAAATTGGCAAGGATGGAATTTATACTTGTGTAAAATCCATCAACTTGAAATTAGTCACACTGGGTTTAAGTCTCTCTTGTGAGAGATACTAAATAATAACTCCCTACTTTTGTCTTAACCTTAGTATTTTGTAAACCCTTATCATTACCCTCAAGCATCTCTCTTCTGAACTGAATAGACCTAGCCTCTTTGGTCTTTCCTCATATGAAAGCCCTTCTATACCACTAATCATCCTTGTTGTCCTTTTCTGTACCTTCTCTAGTTCTATATATTTTTTGAGGTGGGGGAACAGAACTGGGCACAGTATTCAAGGTGTGGACGTATCATAGATTTATAAAGGAGCATGATGATACTTTCCATTTGTTCACAATTCCCTTCTTAATTGTCTCTAACATTTGTTTGCTTTTTTGACAGCTGCTGAGCTCTGAGCTGTCCACAGAGACTCCCAGAGCTACATCATTATTTACTGCTAAGCATTCAAGTTCTCTCACCTTTGATCTTAGACTTCTAGCATTAGTATAAAAATGTGTACTTTTTATTGCCTGGTTCATTATTTCTATGTGATGGTTTACTCAGTAAAGGTATTTGTTTGTGCTTGTCTTCACCCTGTTTCTTATCCCCATTTTTTACAGTTTCATCCCTATAAGGTGTGTCAATCTGATCTGTGCACTGTTCTGCATCTGTCGGCTTTCCCTGTTTTTAGTTTAAAAGCTGCTCTACCACCTTTTTAATATTACATGCCAGCAATTTGGTACCATTTTTGCTGAGGTAGAGCCCATGCTTTCCGTACAGGCTCCCCATTCTAAAAGGTCCCCCAGTTCCTGATAAACCTAAATCCCTGTACCATTACGAGCTAGCTTCAATCCTTATATAAACCACACATAGTACAGACATCCAAAAGAAGTGCTGTGTTTGATGCATTTGTAACTTTGTCTTGGTATTGGCTTTCTATGGTCAATAACCTGCAATGAACATTAAGTTACATATTTGGACTAGTTAGGTAGTAAATCCTCACTTTTGTAAAAGGGAGGTGGCAGCTAATGTACATAGTTTTTGTCTCACCAAAAGTTCAGAAATCCTAGAACAGAGCCCAGAAGAGAATCTGCCTGCCTTAACTTCAGTCTCAGCTGGACTCAACTCCTTTTCTTTGATACATATTGTAGCACAGATCTTGTGGGGATGCTTCAGAAAACAAATTAAGGGTACTAGTTTGTAAGCTTTTGCAGAACTTCCAGGATAGCATTTTTAGGCCATTATGAGAACTTTCAGTTTGTAAGACTGGCGCCCTAGCAGATTTTCTAGCAAGTTAAAAAACTTGTCATCCTGTACATCAGGGTTGGCAACCTCTGGCACGCGTGTCGAGCATGGCACGCAAAGCCATTTTTTGCTTGGCACGCCATGGCCAGCCCTGGCTCCGGGTAGCTGCTGCCAGCGACAGAGCCCAGGCTTCTCCCAGCAGGGCTTGCAGTGTCCCAGCTGCCTGCTGTGAGCAGCTTGGGCTCCCAGCTGGCAGCAGCTCCCCAGAGCTGGGAGGCTCCAAACAGCTGTGCTGGGCTCCAGCATCAGCTCTGCACCGGCTACTGCACCCGCGCGTGGGAGCAGGCGGTGAGGGAGGGGCCTGAGGCAGCGCAGCCCCGGTCTCTACCCCGTTCCCAGCACAGAGGTGATGTCAGGGTTCCAGAGCTCAGTGCAGCTGTTTGTAGCTAGCCCAGGCTCTGGGCAGCTGCAGCAAGCAGTGGGCAGGCTGCAAACAGCTGTGCTGGGCTCTACAGCTCTGGCATCAGCTCTGTGCTGGCAGCAACTGCACACACACCTCAGGGTGGGCTGTGCTGCCCTGCTGTCTACCTAAGTTTCTTAGGTAACCAGATTGGAAGTACTGTTTTTACATGAATCCAAGACAAGTTTTTTGTTGTTTTTTTTTTCCCCACCCCCCTCAGTTGACAGAGGGAAAAACAAGCCTTATCTTGGATACGTGTACCAGTGCTTTGTTGTCTTTCCAGGGCAGCAGCTACAGCTGCTGCTGGTTGGAGTTAGAAGCCATTGAGTCCATGAATGATGTGTGCCTCCAGCGCTTGGTGGGGCACAGTAGCGGCAGGAGCGTGGTGGTGGTGGCAGGAACACAGCGGAGGGGATCGGGAGCCTGGGTGACAGCCACAGCGACTGCAGCTGCCCGACAGTGCATGGAGCTGCACGATGCCCTGCCGACTCCGGCCACACCCACCTGATGAGGCAGTGGTGGTGCGGGTGCCACGTAGCCGGTGCCGGGTCCTGCTGCACCCCCCACTGCCCTATGCTGCGAAGGGGGGCTCCGCCAAGAGGCCCCACATCCTCTGCTACTGCCAGTGAGTATGAGGCTTTTTTTTTTTTTTTTTTAAGTGCTGGGAGGCTGGGCCAGGGGGGGGATGGGGCTTGGGAGGGCAGCCATGGGGGCTTCTCATGCAGCTCCCCTGGCTGTGC